TCGAGGAGGAAACTATATTCCGCCTTGGAACTAAAGAACCCCATGGTATTAACAAACAGTTCAACTCATTTGTTGAGCTCACTACCTAGGGCGCGTTATTTGTTCTATTGTGGAATTTTTTGTGATTCTAACTTATAGTTCATGCGCGTTCTTACGTTCCTATGTTCTACCTGTACGTTATCACACTTGCTTCTATGCTATCGATAAAGAGCCATTGCTCGAAACGTCTAGCTATTTTTAATAGTTATTTAGGACTACGATTACCAAATATTATCTTCAATATATTTTACATGGAATGACAGTTAGGATGTGCAAACATAATATGCAGACATTAAAATGGAACGGCAACAACATGCCGTACTTAGGGTGGGTATAATTGGTAACACTGTGCGTCCGTAAAATCTGAGGAAGCATATCCTATGTTTTCAGCTTATGTTGTATTCATTCTCTTACTGTGGCGTTTATTTGCTCACATTTGGCGAGCCACAGCTCGCAATGTTAGATCACTGCCTTGCCTATCTTTTATGCCCTACCACAAGATACCAGTAATCAACAATAATGCAAGGTGTTTGACAAATTGTTCTTGTTAGATGTACCCTCCCTATGTATTAAGCTATAATAAATTCACCTTTGAGCTCTGTTTGGTGGCTGTTTTAAAATGGAAAATCGATCAAAATACATGCAATTGAGAATCTTGCCCCCAAAACTAGTTACACAAAGTAATCAAACAGCCAGTCACAAAGAATATTTTAGTTTTAAGAAAGTCCTATCAAAAATACAAACAATGCGTTAATCATTGAATGTCATCGATTTACATATATTTTTTTTTTTTCATTACAGTTTGTTTCCTTTATTTTAATTGGTGTAGCTGCATATGGTAGAATTTTAGCAATCGTCACAAGTATAGCTATTATTGGTGGAATCATTGCCTGTGGAGTTTTCTTATTTTTCATTGCACTTGTTGGACTCGTAGGAGCTGTCAAACATCACCAAGTCCTACTTTTCTTTGTATCCTTTTAAAATGAACAGTCAAACATGTTAATATATCTGAGTGTGGTACTGTAAAATACTTTATTTAGTTGGAATTAATTTTCACTGATGTACGAGTTAAATGTAGAATAGGGGAAAATAGGTATACTGTAGAATACTTTATTTTCGCTTGGAATTTATTTTCGCTATTTTCACTAAAGGGATGATTCTGTGAAAATAAAATCCAGCGAATATACTTTTTTTTCCTATATTTCACATTAAACTCAGTGAAAATAAATTCCATACAAAACGCCCAAAAAGCCTTTTCAGCGAAGTGTTTCACAGTATTTAATAGATTTTTATTTTCACTGAAAGTCCCTTTCAGTCTTTTTGATTGACTTCTTACAAAGCAGTACAAATTTGAGTGTGCCCTGTGTATTAGGTTTGGGACTACAAACTTTACTTTCTAAAACGAGTGATCACTCCACTCGCCTATCAGTTTCGCAAATCAAGACCCTGAAGAGCAATCACTCTCTCAATGTAATGGCATCGTATTGGATGTGGATCTTCAGATGTCTGCTCAGTGTGCTCTACTATCTTCTGTGGTATTTAATCTTTCTGAAACCAAAGTTAACTTGATCATCTTTCACAAAACAAACTTGCATGAAAGTTTATAAATTTTTCCCAATTTTTGCTATTAATGGCAACTATGAAATTAAATACATCAAATTATGCAAATCACAACACTGTCATGAGACTTCCAGATGCCAAACAGAGTATGTTTTTGTCTTGTAGCAGTGTACATGTATGTGATATAATACAAATATCTGGTTCATTCTCCAAAACCATAGAAATGACTTGGCAGAAGTGCTCATAAATGTTAGATTTGCCTTGCCTTGCCTTGCCTTGCCTTGCCTTGCCTTGCCTTGCCTTGCCTTGCCTTGCCTTGCCTTGCGTTGTGTTGATGTGAAATTCTAAAAGAGCAAGTAAAATTGTTTATCCTTAACTTTACATAACAGTATATGATAATTTTATTTTTAGTGTTTCTCTTGCAATTTGCAATCTCCTGTGCATGTTTGGCATTAGATTTAGAAGCACGAAGACAGTTGGTAACTGCTGGTTGGGCACATACATCAGCACAGACAAAGGAAGAAGCCCAGGTTCGGATTAACTGCTGTGGTCTTTATTCACAGAATGAAACTGTTCCTGGACAACGTGACCATCCAGATTGTGTTGATGTAAGTCTTATTTTTTTTATTTTATTTTTGTGTGCATGGTTTGACATCATTGGCCCGCTGTCCAAAGGCTAGTGAATTTATCTTTCATAAAGCCTGTTGAACTTGTTATTTATTAGTTTTTAAAACTCCAACATCGTACATTTTTACAGTTGCTTATTGTTCACTGGAAGTAATCATTGCAGGGGGTTTTCCAGAAAAAAACTGCAAAAGGGAGCACTGCAATTCAGTGGCGCCACCAAGTGGGGGAGAACCCCAGTGGCGCCACCAAATGGGGGGAGATAGGGTTCTCCCTACCAGGGTATGGAGTTTTTGATAATTCTAAGTTAAAATGGCTATGGCTTCCTTGAGACCAAAATTACTATCAGACAGGTCACAGTTGAAGACTGGTCAATCAGAATTTTATGGTTGCCAGAGGATCTGCTCCCCAGGGTTCGGGGGTGCATAGCCATGGCATGAGGGCACTGCGCCCCTGTTTCCGTGTTTAAAAAAATATCTGCATTGAATGACATTGAATGATTAAAGTAAATACAGTTTAAAATGACACAATGCCAGTCATCTCAGCCTACATTGGGGCCCAGTATGTTATTTTTGTTTCCAATGTGAGTTTTTGCAGTTACCCTGTCCCTTCCTATATTGACATGTTCATCTGAAGTAATTCATCAATAGCACATTTGTTGGAGACCACCCGAATTCTACATTCACTGGTCCCAAAGACTAATAAGTTTTTTTGATTGGCTCATTGGGTGCTCTGGAATGATCTGTACACCTGGCTGGATTGTGTTGACACTTGGAGCTGGGTTTTGGACTAGCATTGAACTGTTTAGCCTTACAGTGCATTGATGTCTTTCAACTTTTCTTTTCCCTCTCATCCATGATGTCAAATGGGATACCGGGGTAGTTGTCTATTGTTGAACCATTTTAGAAATGTTTTGACATTAGATGTACACGTATTGGTAGAAAGAGTTTACACCACCAGCCCTAACCCTACCCTCCAGCGTTCCCCAATTTAAATGTATATGTTCCGCTTAAGGACACCTATAGTTGTCTAGAGGGGTCATTTACAATTGAATTGGTGGGCTTGGGGTGAAGGTTAATTAGGATTAGGGGGTGGAGGTGCAAATAGAAATCTTTCCGTATTGACGTTTTCAATGTTCATTTTGATTCAGACTCATGTGCCTTGCTGTGGTGAAGGTAAAAATATTGGTGACTATTGTCCAGAATGTAGAACATGTATAGCTGCGATAGAAGATACGATGGAAAAGGCTTTGCGAATAAGCGGTGGTGTGGGGTTGTTTTTTAGCTTTACAGAGGTAAGAACACAAAATCAAGTCATTTTGATTACCGCATGACATGGTGAAAGTTTAGTGTGTAATTTCAATGCTGATATGCCACGATAAGCATCACGATATTCATGGTAAACAGTTATTCAATGTTTGTTCAAACAGTTTGCTAAGAAAAAGTAATCATTGAACTGTATGTTTTTATCATATCCTCTGAGACTCCTCTGAACAGTGTAACAAGATTAGCCCTACGTGTGTAACATATATAAATTTGGCTGTTCGGGATTACTTCAAAGTTGAGTTTGTGTTGTTTTCTCGAATTTTCACCGGCTCGACCGGCGTTCCACAGCAGCGCGCACAGAGCCCATAAAAATGCATGTACAGTGGTGAGCGTCGTAGCAACCTGGAACGTCTTGTGACGTAGCTCCTCCCCCGAGGATTGAAGAATTTAAGACTGAATAACAATTGCGAGGTGCAATGGCAGGGTTTAAACTTAACATTTGAGCAGGCATCGATTATGAAGGTTAAAATTGATAAAATTGTTTTGGTATCATAGGAATAATGTTGAGAATAGGACAAACTTGTTGCGCTTCAAGGTGCCTTTGATGCCTCTGTGACGTTCAAGCCTTACAATGACACTAACTCGTAATATTATTGATTGAGAGTTCATTTTTGAAAGGTATCATAATTCTGCTGGAATGCTTAAACACAAGAGCATTACTCAATAAAAAAAACACCATACAATTGTAATAAGCAACCTACAATTTGCTGTCACTAATATTAGCCAAATCCGTATGCGTCACACAGGTCGTAGAATTACCAGGAGGAAAATTCCTTGTTCATCAAACCCGCTTGCACCTACTACCTTGCATTTTTTTTGTAATTGCACAAAATAATCACTTGACCATTGACGACACTTCGATATTCTTGAAAACTACCATCGAAGCTAGTCTGGTTTAATGTTCCAATATCCAATGAACAAGATTTCATTTTGGCTGGCCTATAGTAAAAAGTTGATACCATACAATAAATACAATTAGTTTACGTGCACGTGTATTAGAGATGCACACAAACACAAAATACAGTGTAGATTTTTGAATATCATTGATATTATAATTTGATGTACTGTAGAATACTTTATTTTCGCTATTTTCGCTGAAGGGATGATTCCGTGAAAATTAAATCCAGCAAATATACTTTTTTTCCTATATTTCGCATTAAACTCATCAAAAATCAGTGAAAATAAATTCCATACAAAACGCCCAAAAAGCCTTTTCAGCAAAAATTAATTCCAGCGAAAATAAAGTATTCCACAGTATTATAATAAAATTATTTTGTTTTTTTTCAGTTGCTTGGAGTGTGGCTAGCAGTTAGGTACAGAAATCAAAAAGACCCAAGAGCTAATCCCAGTGCTTTCTTATGAAATGAAAAGTAACATTCTTGGTTTTCACAAAAGTAAATTATTTGACTTCATTATTAACCGTGTTTGTCTGAGAATGTTAAAATTTTAACATATTGTGCTGTTTGCATGGGAAAGTAAATAAAAACAATTCTCAGTATCTCAAATCCGGCGATGATCATGTGACTTTTAAATTTGCAGGGATGACATGCTTGTTCTAAAATACAAAATGCTCATTGTTTTGCTGGAAATGGACGACTATAAAATAAGTACATGTAGTTATATTTGATATTCAGTTCATTGTTTTAGCCGATGAAATAGGGCATGATTGCTGTTTCTGTTTGATGCAAATGTCTTCTGTTGTCCCTTTTCCCCAGTGATGTGGATAAAAGCCTGTACCCGGTCACAACAACCAGTTATACACTAACTGTGATTGGCTACAAATGTGTAAATTTTTTGGAAATGATCGATTTACAGCACAATCAACTTGTTATCAAATAACAAACACTGGAGGCACTGAAACAAAGTGAAAACTGCCGCACACTTTTGTTAGCTGCATATGTTCGTAGGCTGCACACGTTCGTAGGCTGCACACGTTAAGTTGCACATGTTTGTATGTTGCACATATTTGCTAGTGGCGCACATTGGAAAGTCTCGCATGTCGTATTTGAGATACTGAGAAATAACTCCACTGTGCCATATTTATTCTTGTCCCATATTGTTAGTATTATTGGTTTACACCACAACTCACCTGTGAGTACTGTGATAATGTGGATCATACACATGCTTCAAACCAGCAACATTGCCAGCTTATTTGTTAGTAAGGTGATTCCCTGACAACTTTGGCAACCATGGAAATTGTCATTTATTAGCGCTTCCATACAAAATGCAGGGGGTGATCATGAGGTGAAAATGTCTGAGCTTTTGTCCTTATTGCCAACTTATCTCGCACAATAGCCTAGTTTATGTGTTTCTGATTAAAGTCAAGCTTGTGTATACTACGGATAACTATTATCTATGCCCTGATTCAACATCAGACATTGATTTCTCTGTTTTATTGCATTAACAAGCTTCAAAAGATCACAATTTTATAAGAAAGCAAGAAAAAGCTATTTAAAAAAAAAACACTTTCAGAATAATTGCTTAATAAAAAAACAAGTAAATTTTTTTTTTGGTATCAGGAGTATAGTGGATCAAAATCGCCAGAGGTCCTGAAAGCGACATTCTTATATTGTTTAGATTCAAAGTACTGTGATTTTTAATGGTAGGGATTAACATTTGATGATTTGAGGGTTTCGTAATTATCCAGAACTGAAAAAATTGTTTTGCTTGTGAATTTATATTGAACTGGCCGCTGTTGAGGTGTTGGTCACAACGACTCGTGTTACATGATTTTGCTTTAATGTAGATGTATAAGTTACATACTTTTTTGCTCAGTTGTGGAGGCCCAAAAATCCCCCCTCCCACAAGGGAAAAACGGGAAAAATCTCAATTGGCTTCTTGTTTATCGGCTATACTACCATAACATGTTTTGCCTTCATAGATTCTTCGCATATACTTGGCTAAACTTTGTAAATAATGTAAAAAATATAGTCGAGAAACCAGCTATTACCACTGTGTGACTCTTGCATTTTTCTCTTCAGAGTATAGGATAGCCTACAACATATCTTAAAAAAATGGTGCAATACTTTGTAAATATAGTTATAGTGAATCAAATGTAGTGTACATCTGTTTGAACTGCTTTTTTGGGCTTAAAAAAAATATTTCAGGTCATGTTCCTCAAAGCTTTTTCGCAAAAAAATGATAAATCGAAAAGCACAATTTTGAAATAAAAACAAAGTGTGCTTGTATAAATTTAGGTAACAAATTGACCAGAAATATCCCCCCCCCCCCCCTTTTGCACTTAATATTTGGTAATCATAGTCCATGTTAATGGTACTTCAGTCGTGCCAAAAGAAAAACAGACTTAAACATCACATTATTCTGAATACTGTTACTACACCAGTTGTACAACCCTGGCTATAATCCCAAATTCATAAAACCGTTGATGCATGATGGTTGCCATTACGTTGTGAACTTGTTGTAACTGAAATGGCAGCTCGTATGTGACTATGAATTTCCCGCGACTATGATTATTTTCTTTTATTTTCACAATAGTTGTAGTTTTCGGTTTTCTGCAAATTGACTCGGAGGCGGTTCCTACAGTACTGTAAAATACTTGCTGGGAATTTATTTTCGCTGAAGGGATGAAAATAAATTCCCGTTAATATACCTTTATTTCTATATTTTACATTCAACAAACAACATACAAAACGCCCAAAGTCTTTTCAGTGAAGAATAATTCTACAATGAGGTATTTTAAGGTACAAGAATTAAGGATTTGTAAAATTAGAGAAAAATGTGTATTTTATGTATATGCATGGTAGAATCATCTAGATTTATTCATTGTTGATCTTTCTGACTTTCCAGTATTTGAATTCTCGTATTTGTAGTGGGTTTGACCATGGAGGTAATTACCTCCATGCTTTGTCACAATTGTATGTTAAATACTCCACCAATCAGTAGTTAAAACAGGGTGTTTATGCAAGTTTATCTGTGATCTTCAAACTTCATCAATGCTGGATGGTGCACTAAAAAAAAAAGCAGGACCACACTTATAATATGCTATATGTACTCTTGTTTGTAAACAAATTTTTCTGATTTGATGATTTAATTGTGTTAATCGGGACACAAAGTTGATGTGATTTTTTGTCTTTAGAACCCAGTAAAATGTTTGCGAATTTTGCCTTGCTTGAAATTTAAGCGATTTACAGTACAATGACCAACATATTTCTCACATTTGAACTTGCTAAAAAATAAAGCACCAGTGTAAAACTGCACAATTTGACTTGGGTCAGATGTTATATTTAGCATAACAAGTATATAGTTGAATACATTGGCACCAGATTAGTACTATGATTTTTTGCCATTACATGTTAGTATATTCTATTTACAAGTTAATACTGTTGTGTACATTTGTATTACGTTCTGATCTTTGCATTCTAGATAACACTCCTTTTCAACTATAACAGGGCAGATCCTTTGAAAGATTTTGTTGAGTAAAAATGTTTGTGACTAAATCCCAGAAAAAACACCATTTGCTCTTATTACGATGACCGTAACCTAACAATTTGTGGATTTGGTTTTTGTCTAATATTAGACGCCTGCTTTGTGTACATATAATATGAAAATGAGCCAGTCTTTATGAGGTTTGTACCTGCAAAATGTTATTTCTATGAGGATGTTAATTTTGTTTTTGTGAATTGTCAGGGTAGATTGGTAAATTATTTTACACTTTTTTTTTTGTGTATAAAGTTTGCATCGTTCATTGATTTAAAATTATTTTAACAATTGTTCTTGATAAATCTTGGTTTCCTTCGTTGAAGAATCAAGGGAGTAAAGTTGCTTTTCAGTATGTCATGAAATTTTGCACGTTTGCAACTGCAATCTTTATAGTAGCATGGATGCAGTGTGCAAACTGGAGTATCGTACTGGTGGGAAAACACTCATCCAACTTTTTCTTAATTCAACAATGGACAATTTTGGGTTCTTTAATTCATAGGTTATCATATCCTAGAGTTTCAATGTATATGCAAGGAAGGGGTAAGCAGATTTCCGGTAGTCGTATTCAGTTTTCAGAACTTTTTTTATCCAAGATGTTTATTATTGTACAATGTAGACGTGTTTTCTTTTTAAAGTTTTTGTTGTAGATTTTGTATTCACAAAAAAGCAGGACACATTTTAGTATTCGCCAATGCATCCAAAAGTCTGTTAAAATTTGAAGCAAACTGTCTTATAAACGACTAGCCATAAAATCAATCTGCTCCTCATAACTTTTATGACACTCGCGTGTACAAGTAGGTTAGTAATTTGAGAATTCAAAACTGTTGTATTGTGTGCATGTTTTTAGAAATTTTTTTTGGTGTATTTTGAATTTATTGCTGGTTTCATCAATTGATGATAAAACTATAATAGTTCATGTAAAAGTGATGTAATGAAAATAAATATAATTGGGAAATATTGGAATACTTTATGCGTGTTTTATTGCTTATGAAATGCTTAGTATTGGGGGGAATGGAAAATTGGAAAACGTGAAAACTTAGGGTATGAGTCTTTGCAGTAACTGTGTGTGCGTGTGTGCGCGTGCGGTTTTGGGATAAATATTTTTGCATATTAACTTAATTTGGATAATTAGTTAATTTTCAGATTTTCACATATATCTCAAGTACTGCTCATGACATTTCAATGAAACTTGGTACATAGATCCTCTAGGACTATGCAGAGATTTTGCATAATTATTTAACTTTCAGCTTTTTCACTGATATCTCGAGTACTAATCATCACTTTTAAATGAATCTAAACTATGCAGAGTGCCAATTACTTGTTGGTATATATGCATATTAATCACCTAATTTGCATAATTAATACAATTTCAACTTTCACACTGATATCTCAGGTACTAATCATCACATTTCAATGAAACTTTGTACATAGATGCTCTAGGACAATGTACAAATATGATCAGTTTTGGGTTAAAATCTGTTCATATAAATTCCATAATTAGCATAATTCATAATTGTTTAGTTCTGATTACATTTCAATGAAACTTGGTACATAGATGGTCTGTAACATTGCGCAGACCTTATTAGTTTCACACTCTGTTCATTTCAAGTACAAGTAATTTTGAATCAATTTTTACTGTGTCTTCAATACTCTCAGCACACGGGAGTTCTTTCTAAGCTTTCTTTGATTACTGTTTAAATTGCGAGTTTTTAATATTTGGGCCTATTAAAAAAAACAACGCAACCCGATATTTCATATTCTTCGGTCAGTCACTGAGGGCAACAAAACATTTTTTTTTTTTGGCCTAATTGTGAAGTATGAGTTATCAGTAGATTCTCTCCTTTTTTTTTTTGGAGTAATCATTTACCTATTGGTGTCAACACATAGTGTAACTTTTCTGTTTAAAGTAAGAACAAAAAATACCTGGATGTGCATGGTGCATCAGATACAGATTGGTCACGCATTGCATTCCCTGACCTACTGCCTGCTTAGTATGGCTGATCTAAGAAAAACAGAGTTTGAGTCCTGGGCATTTCCAACCATCCGCCACCCCCCAATATAGGAAGCTTTTCATAATAGGATGTTGGA